AAATATAATAATTTTATAATTTTAATATTTCAATATATTAATTAAACTTAACTTATATAGATACAATATAGAAGATTGTTAGTAAAATTAAGGTGTATCGATTTAATTTGACATATAATACTGAAAGAATTCCTGAAGATATTAATATTAAACATGCAATGGATTGGATTGCAGAAGCTTAAGATATATCAATCTTAATATTATTTCAAATTGTTGGAAAAAAACTAATATTATTTTTTCTTCTCAAATTCCTCTAGAAATAGATGATCCTCAAACTCCTGCTTCAGATAGTGCTATTACTGGAGATGTGATTTCATTTCAACAACATAATTTAGAAGAAATGGAAGAATTGATTAATCAATTACCATATAATTATGAAGATATTATTAACATAAATGATTATATTATAATTGATAACCCATTTGAAAATTTAGATATTGCAAATAAGGATATTATAAATAAAAAAAGGCCAAATCTGATTTAACAATCAAAAATATTAACAATCTTATTAATTTTATTGAACAAGATTCTGAATTAAATTTGGATAGTAATTATATAGAAATGCCCAATTCTTTGCAACAAAAAATTTTACAAAAATATAAGAATAAGTTTTTTTATTTAAAATATTATCATATTATATTATATGTATACATATTTATATAAATAAAATAAATATTATTTATATAAATTGTAAATATAATTCTTAGAAAATAATAAAATTATTTTATAATTTATTTATAATTGTAGCTACATATAAAATATTTTATTTTACTATATAATCATACTTTTTATCAACTAAGTATATACATTCCTAATATTATTTTCTATATTTAGAGGAATTTTCGCTAAATTTAAATGGAAATTTATTGTTTAATTATAAATTCAATTTTTTATTAATATCCATATATAACATTATAATTCTTTATCAAAATATAAATAAAACGTACTATATATAGAATTAATTGCGATTATTATATTTGCATAATTAACTAAAATCAATTTACTTAATAAAATAAAAAGTTTCTAAAAAACAATTATTATAAATTAATGATAATAATTTCTAAATTTAACCATTTATTAATGACAGTTATATTTTCTGAGTAGATTTTTAAGTATTTGATAGAAATTAATGAAATTCAATATACATTTAAATAATGATATAATACACAACATTACTTAATAGAATATTATCTATTAAAACATTAGTTTTAGTAATATGTTATATATTATAATTAAACTATTTCATATAAATGTAAAGCTTAAATATTAATAATAAAAGTCTAATGAAGTGTAATGAAAATTTCATAGTATATAGAATTCATTGTGTATTTTAACTTTAATTAATACTTAAAAGATGATATAATTAATATAATAAAAAGTTTATTATGTAACAACTTTTACGTTTAAAAAAAGTTTCGGATTTTTCGAAATCTCCCCGTGTATCAAAATTTTCTTTTATCGAGTAAACCGGGACTCTGAAAATTTTGACGATCGTAACTAACGCATTGATCATTAACTAATATAGACTATTGTGCACAGTTTCTTTTATCGAGAGTTGACCGTACAATCTCGCGATAACTCAATGGAAATCGGATTCACAATTTGTAAGATTCTCCTTTAGTCATATCGCAATTATAGTTAGGATTACATAAGGCTTAAAGTGTATTAACGTTTATTAAAGTTTTCAAGAATCGATAGTTGTTAGTTTCATCAAGGACAATGTTTTCTGTAAAGCACTATGGTAATCTGAATTAAGTATTGATACTGTAATTAAAAAAATTGAAGAGCTTTTTTACTAGTTGAGGAAAATCCATGATCAAAAAAGAACATATGAAGTTATGACGTCGCTATCGCTCGCGATAGCGTTGAAAAATTATGTGAAATAATTCTACGAATAGTTCCGGAAGCGATAATTTCATTATTGTGAAGAACTTTGAGTTTTTTTCCGACGATTTCATAAATATTACTAAGGAAAACGTGCGAAAAATCTTTGGTACCAGGTACATCTATTTCTATATATAAATCAGAAAAGGATGATTGAAAATAAGCAGTATCGATAAAGTAATTTTGGGGTTCATCATAATCGATACCATTCGAAAATCTTCCAGAAGCCGTGAAATAGCTTTTACCAGTTTGATTGAATATAATTATGCCGCCAAGTTTTTCACTTAAATCGACATATGCTTTGCTACCAACTGGGGCGAGAGGAGTTGCGTTGAGACATAACGCGAGTAGTGAAAAGGCCACAAAAGTAGCGAAAAGTGTACGTTTTAACAACATTATTAAAAAAAATTTTTTTTAATAAGTCGTGAAAGTAAAATGTCTGCTCTTTTATACTTGCTTAGAATTGTTAACCCGGTCTTTGTACGGTTTCATATTCGACAAACACCTCGCTCACAGACACCTGAAATCTAGGAATTTGATCGACTAGTTCTAATTATCGGAACCGTTTAATCTTGTTAGAAACGGAAATTTGTGAAAATCATATGTAATACTCGCAAATGATCCCAATCTTAATTTGCCGACGTTTCCGCGTGAACCTTTCGTCATTACGCCCACAAATAAAAACGTTTCTTTCGTTTTAAAATACGGGTAATATATTCGTATCGTCTAAATTATCAAATTAAATTATCAATTAAAAAAAATTATTAATAAATAATATTATTTAATTATTAATTAATCGTTTTTTATCAAATTTAAATTATTTTATGAAGAATATCCTTTTGACAGATTTATTCAATTATCAAAAAAAAAAACTCTTTCCCGATGATCCTTTTTTCTTAAAAATTTCCTTTTTAGGCAATTTTGTAAACCAAGTTGAAAAGTAAATGGAGAGATGAGTTCTCCAAGAAAACAACAAAAAGCAATATGCTCAGGGCAGACCCAACTATAATGAGAATGCCCTAGCTAAAGGTAACAAAAAGTTGTCATGCAAAGTAACACAAACAGAGAAAGCAAAACTTCTAAAGAAAAATAAAGGAAAAGAAAAGGAAACCCAGCCAAGAAACTCTAGAGACGAACTACAACAATACCCAGACACTAACTGGACTCTCAATTCCTGCCAAACAATAGAGACAAGACAACAAAACAATAAGATACAATCCTCAAGGAGTGAACAAGTCTAAGAAACAATCTGACCAAATTTTCTAGAAAATAACAACTCAGAAAACATGGGTACTTCAACCTTCAAATCTAACACTAATCAAGAAACTCAGAAGTTTATATCCAACAATAAATACTCCAATATAGAGATGGAGAAATCAAGCAATAACAGAAAGGACAATCAACGAAGTGAAGGAACATAGCAAGAGGTCACACCTAAAATCAAAGAAACAATAAGCATACTCAACAAACCTAGACCAAGAACAACTATTGATAGCACCACTAGATTTAGCAAAGAAAGAGTCAAAACAAGAATCAAGGTCTCTCTTATCCCAGAAAGAACCACTAGCCAAAAAATCGCACATATAATTAAAAGTTTTAACTCTCTTAACAGCCTTCTCTCTATTCATAGTGAAGGAAAAAGAGAAGATGAACATACCATTGCTATTTTCAGCAATCATCCACTGCAAAAGAAGTATGCAACACTATCTTACTTGACATAGAAGATGCGTATCTAGAACACATGGCTTTCATATTCTCTAAACCAGATAAAGAAATGAGTATCAGAGTATGAGACATCCCTCTGAACACTAAATTCATAGACATATAACAAACATTTGCCAAATATGGGGAGATAATCAACATCTTCATGTCAACACAACAAATATGGCAATCAACAGTCATTATATGTACAAATTGACAATTAAAAGAAGATCCAATCAACAAGTGAAGCATCTTGTTATGATCAGACTGCAGTCAGGATTTTTGATATATAATGGGACATGAATTAAATAAAAGCATATGACAACACTGCAGTAAAACTAACCAATCTTCCTCTCAAAATCACAGCTTTCAATCTCAAATACATATATAAACAAACAAAAGCAAAAACATATTATATTCTGAGACATATGTCATACAAACACAAGCATTTTACTATAGTAAAATTCAGAAATCAGAATGATCTAGAAAATGCAATAGCACAAAACTTTACATTGGATGAAATTCAAACTAAATGGAAACCAATCAACACAAAACTCTGCACAATATATGGCAGTGCAACACATCTAGTTATCTAATGCCCTATTAAAAAAAGAAGGGAACAGTAGAACTATTATAACACAGAACAAGCAAATAGATTCATTAAGCTCTATAATGATTCAGACCAACTTGCACTGAAATGATCAGATAGAAAACTTCACAACAAATACACCAAGACCAGACTGGGTTTCTATGCAGCAGTAGTTAAAACATTAAAAGAAAACAAAACAACGGGACAGTTATCTTAACTCAATTTAGCATAAATCCTAAACATTCTCAATAAAATCAAATAAGAAATCTCATAAATTAAAGAAGAAATTATAGATTTGAAAGAATACATTATCAATCTTGAAATCTATAATAAAGAATACATAAAACATATAGAAAAAAACACAATATTATATAGTAAAAAGAAGATAATAAACAATAAAAAAGGATCCTATTAACAACAATCAAAACATCTGCACTTAATAACAATGTATTCAATTATCCATGCAAAAACTTGATCAAAATATAGATCACATATATAATGTAATAATTGATTCCTTTTCAGGTAATGCACAAATCTCTCCAAATCAACAATAATAAAGAGTAACTTGAATACCAAAATATATGATGCCAAGAAATATCTAGTATTAATATTACCACAAAGTCACCCTATTCAACATTAAATCAAGAAGAAACTCTTCAAAATTCAACAATTTTAACAACTGACAACAATATTCTCCTATCAATACTGTATATATAATAAAATCTACACTGACAAGTAAATACCTCTATAAACCTATTTGAAAAGTCATTACACTCAACATACAAAAAAAAGTAGAATCACACAAATAAGAAACATGGTTCAACTTTTACAACTCAGCAGAATGAATATTATAGTTACTACAAAAATCAACAACTCATACTATCAATCAAAATATTGGCAATATGCAAAATAATAAACCATTTGGACACATGAGAAATTCTAAACAATTGGCCAAGGTCTCAATATAATAATCAATAAAGAAATAGCTTATAGGATATACAACTACAAAACACTTACTAGGAGACTTATTGCTATAGACCTTACCTTTCTATAAAAAAAAAGATAATCATAGGAACATGCTTCCCAGTACAAGACATTGAAGGAAAAAAGCATATAGTTATTGACACACTCAAAAATGAATTCAAGAAGCAACAGAAAAAGGCTAGTATATTATGGGACTGGTGGATCTCAATAGAGTTCCTAACTCTTCTATAGATAAACATAACAACAATCGAGTGATCAAAAAGTGCATTCCTTAGGCAAACACATACAGACTCCATTAGACAATGGATTAAATGATATATACAGAAAACACAATCCAACAAAATGTGAGTATACATGGAATAGAGGTATATTGAGTAGCAGAATTGATCAGATATGGATAAACTTCTTAGTAATCTGGCAATTGAGGATAGATACTATCCAAAATTCCATAACACCTCTCATATAAAGTGATCACAATCTAATAACAATAGAATTAGAAGTCTAGTGTTTAACAGACCTAAACAAGCCCCACACCATACATCTAACCCTCATCTAAACTGGTATCTGATCACAGTTGAACAATGGAAAAAGTTTAGTGAATAAGTAGAACACCATCTTTCCACCAAAAGTACAAGTAATCAAGATATCAACCAAAGATGGAATAGTTTCAGCAATATTTTACAAAAAGCTACAAAAAGTCATATACACAAAAAGAAAAAATATTGCAAGATAAGAAATATCCACAATAATATAGAAACAGTCATCCTCCTTATACAACTGCAGAAATTTCTCACACATTAAGATAGCATCAACAATGACAATAGAAAACCAAGCTCTACAGTTAATTGAATCACCTAACCATATATAAAAACTTTTTTCAGACCTAATGGTAACACTAAATAAAATAAAAACTAACAATTCCTCTTTATATATTATCTTGGGCTAATCCGACAAGCTCATCACTAATTTGTAGTCCTTGCGTAACCCAGACATCTCATAAATACTCACAAAGAAGTGAATACCTCCTATAAAGAACACTTAGGGAAGGCAGAGGCATGGTGGTTGACTTGGCCGAAAGTAAGTGTCTCTTTATTGCATTCTATTTCTTTGAGATATTATTAACTCTTATCTTTATTCTCAATGAAGACTGTTTTTCCTAACATATTCAGCTCTATCTTTTCAGTATATATTGATAAGCTATTTATACTTTTCTAACTAACAATGGGCTATCAACTTTATAATCGGCTATACTAACCCTAAGCTTTGCTAAACTTT